TAGACATAGAAGGGAAATTCCTCAACTGAAGTACATCTACTAAAAGAACAGCATATAGACAATATCATACATAATGTGAAAAACTAGACATTTTACACCTAAGAAATAAGGAGGCCAGGAACAGTGGCTCATGCCTGTAATCCCAGCACTTTGGGAGGCTGATGTGTGCAGACCATCAGGTCAGGAGTTTGAGACCAGCGTGACCAACATGGTGAAATTCCATCCCTACTAAAAATACAAAAATTAGCTGGGCATGGTGGTGTGCACCTGTAATTCCAGCTACTCAGGAGGCGGAGGCAGGAGAATTGCTTGAACCCAGGAGGCAGAGGTTGCAGTGAACTGAGATCATGCCACTGCACTCCAGCATGTGTGACAGAGTAAGACTCTGTCTCAAAAAAAAGAAAAAAACAAGGAAAGGATATTCCCTCTCATTGTTTCTATTCAACATCATACCAAAATCCTAGCTAAGGAAATAAGACAAGAAAATAAAATAAAAGGTATAAAATAAAAGGCATTTTAATGCTCCTTGCTTACTGATAACTTGATTTTCTATGTAGAAAATCTCAAAGCATCAGCCAAAAAGCCTTCTAGATTATAGCAAGGTTGCATGATATAAGGTTAGTACACAAAATCATTTGCTGTTCTACATCCAGCAATGAACAACCAGAATTTGAAATTAAAAGTACAATACCATTTGCATTAGCATCAAAAAATGAAATAGACACAATCTTGCAAAATATGGGCAGGATTCATATGAGATAAACTGTAAAATCTATTTAAAAGAGGGCTGGACCTGGTGGCTTGCACCTGTAATTACAGCTCTTTGGGAGGCCAAGGGGAGTGTGAATCACCTGAGGTCAGGAGTTCTAGACCAGCCTGGTCAACATGGTGAAAACCTGTCTCTACTAAAAATACAAAAATTAGTTGGGCATGGTGGTGGGTGCCTGTAATCCCAGCTATTCAGGAGACTGGGTCAAAGAATTACTTGAATCTGGGAGAGAGGGGTTGCAGTGAGCCGAGATCACATCATTGCCCCAGACTTGGCAAAAAGAGTGAAACTCCTTCTCAAAAACAAAAGAAAAGAAATCTGCTGAAAGAAATTAAAGATCTAAATGAATGAAGAAACATCCGTGTTCACAAAATAAGACTCAGTGTTGTTAAAATGTCAATTCTGTTCAATGTGATTTATAAATTCAATACAACTCCAGTCAAAACATGAACAAATTATTGTGTGAAAATTTACAAACTAATTATAAAGTTTATATAGAAAGGCAACTACCCGAATAGACAACAATGTTGTAGAGGAGGAGGAACAAAGTTCAAGGTCTTGCAAAGTGATCCATGGAATAGAATAGAGAACTGAGAAATAAGATCCCACAAACACAGTCAATTGATCTTTTAGAAAAAGGTAAAAGCAGTTCAATGGAGAAAGGATAGCTTTTTCAAAAAGTGATGAATCTATGGCATGTGTGTCTATATAGTATATGCAAAAAAGTAACTGAGACACAGACCTTGCACCTCAAAAATTAAAGGAACACATTTTTAGGTTACTAATATTTTAAATTGACAAACCATAATTGCATACATTTATGGGGTACAATGGGATGCTTGGAGATGTGTATAAAATGAGGAATGACTACATCAAACATAACATATTTATCATCTCAATTTTATTTTTTGTGGTAAGACACTTGAAATTTACTTTTTGTTATTTTGAAATATATACTACATTATTATTTACATATATATACTACATTGTAGTCATCCTGCTGTACAATAGATTTCAAAACATATTTCTCCTGTTTACCTGAATCTTTGCACCAGTGAACAATTTCTCATTTTCTCCCAGGCAACACAACCTCTGGTAATCTTTTCTACTCTCTACTTTTATGAGTTCAATTTTTTTTTTTTTTTTTTGAGATGGAGTTTCGCTCTTGTTACCCAGGCTAAAGTGCAATGGCACGATCTCGGCTCACCGCAACCTTCGCCTCCTGGGTTCAGGCAATTCTTCTGCCTCAGCCTCCTGAGTAGCTATTACAGGCACGCACCACCATACCCAGCTAAGTTTTTGTATTTTTAGTAGAGACGCGGTTTCACCATGTTGACCAGGATGGTCTCGATCTGTTGACCTCATGATCCACCCGCCTCGGCCTCCCCAAGTGCTGGGATTACAGGATTTAGCCACTGTGCTCGGCCCGAGTTCAATTATTAGACCTAAATTTAAATCAAAAATTGGTAAAACTTCTGTAAAATAACAAAAGGAATAGATATTTGGGTAACTTTGGGTTTTGTAGATACAACGCTAAAGAACATAAAAGACAAATTTCTACCATGAAAGAAGATATTGGTGTGACTTTGTTACAATAAATCTTTCGCTCTGGGAAAGGAAATATTAAAAGAATGGAGAAACGAGACACAGGGAGAAAATATTTCCAAAACACCAGTCTTGCATCCAGACCATTAAAAACCACTTACAAAACAACAATAAGATATCAACCACCCCAACTAGTAAATGGACAGAACACCAAAAGAGGCTCGCTCGCATCAGAGACGGCATACAGATGGGGAAAAGCTTATGAAAAGATCTTCACCCTCCCCGGGCTTTTCTCTCTCTGCGCCCCTCTCTCCCCTACACACCCTCTGCTGCAACACGAGAGGGAGCAGGTCAGGGGTGGTGACCGTGAGGTGCACAAGGCGTGGGACTCATGTGCATTATAAGCCGTGGGTCCGGGGAAATCTTGAAAGGCTGAGCTTGAAGCCCAGACTGACCCGCCCCTCACAGGGTCCCAGCCAGCTGCCCTGCAGAGCCCCTTACTCCTCCTCTCTATAGGCCTGCTGGCCCCCCAGGGGGCCCTGGGAAGAACCGCCTCTCCCTGAGCCCGGCTGAGCGCGCTGGCAGTGTCGACATCAGGGACGCCTGGATGCTTTTCCTGGTAGAGTGACAAAGGTTCAACAACGAGAAGAGGAGCAGGGGCCAAGACAAGAAGCGGCCCGCCAGGACCCAGGCCCCAGCATCCCACCCAGGGCGCTGCTGCAGGAATTCCAGCTGCTGCTGAAAGGCGCGGTGCCGCAGCGCCAGAGTGCGGATCCTGAGCCCTGCATGCACATCTCCGTGGGGCCGATACCCTGGAACCTCGCTTCAGTCCTTTCGCCTCCAGGGAAGACAATGTCAACGAGACAGGGTGCGTGTGGGCGGTGCTGGCCGCCATGGAAGCCTCGAAAGGAGGCCGCCTTCCACTGCCACCTGTGCCAGGACACGTGGCTGCAGCCATGCCCGCTGCTTGTCTGCCGCCAGGGCGCCACCAGGATGACAGGTGCAGGAGGCTGAGGCAGTGGGCAGCTGCAGTTTCCAGCCCGCTGTCCTGTAGGCGAGAAGATGAAGAAAGCCACCCCTCAGCAGATCAGCTGCCCGGCCTGGCAGCCCAGCCAGACAAGGAGCCTGAAAGTTCACCTTGTCTGAGCTCACGTGTGCTGACAGTGGACCCGGTGCCCAGAATGCTGGGGAGCCCTATGCGCGGGAAGCACGGGAAGCAGACAAGCAGCTGTGAGGCCCAGAGGCGCTGCGGGGTGGGAAGGTGCCTGCTTCCCAGTGCTTTCACGCCCCGCCCGGCCCTCCAAGGCTGCTGCTGCCAGGATATTCCACAGCGTGGACACCCTTGTGGGCACGCGCCACAATGGCTGCAAGATGACAACCTTCACCAGGGTCACTCAGGGTGTCTGGGACATGATGCTCAAGCGCTTTGGGGAGCGCAACGTGGCTAACTCAGAACCGTGGAGGCTGCCTTTCAAGGTTTCCGCCAAGATCACGGGACCCCACCGTCAAGGACTGTGTCTCGGGATCCGGTTCCCAGGTTCCCAGCACACAGTCGAGCCCTGGAGCTGAACCAGCAGCCCATCGGAGCAGCCTTCAGCTCAGGCCTCCTGCCGTCTTCAGCCAGGAGATGGTGGGGTGAGTCAAGGAGCACCACGAGGCCTTCATGGCCTCACTGAGCCCTTTAGGGCGGTGCCCACGATCTCTCTGAGCATCTGGCACTCGCGCTTTAACGTGGATGAGGTGCTGGACATAGAGTCAGCTGTGCCACTCCAGCTGCCCACCACTGAGCAGCTCACCAGCACATGAGAGGTTTCAGCCTGGGCCCTCAGCCTGATGTCGCTCAGGAGGGAGGATGCCTTGACTCAGTCAGCCCTGTGGTCAGCGCAGCCCAGCAACCCCAGGCGCCCCAGCCCAGCGTCCCCCAGGCTAGCACTGCCAGCTACCCCACCCCACCCGCTATCCCTTCCAGCGCCCTGCAGTGTGTGTCCCAGGACCTGCCTGAGCAGTCTGAGACAGAAGCAGCTGGCGCAGGTGACACGGTGCCCGGAGTGCAAGCCAGGCTGCAGTGGCTGGAGTGGATGACAGACTGGCCAGGCACTGCATGGCATCTCTGTCTGAGTGCAAGGGGCCCTCAGTGAGGAGGTGGTCTGTGCTGGGATGGTCGGCAGGTGCTGGCAGCAGCAGGCCCCAGGAAGGTGGAGAAGCACCTGCTGCTCCTCTGAGTGGCTGCCGCCAGACTGGCTCAACCTCCACTATGTCCACCCCTCACCTACCTCCAGCTGCTCAAGGCTGGGTCTGGCCCACACTGAGGAGGGTTTGTGAGCCCAGCAGCCACCGCAGACAAACACTGGCTGGAGGCTTGCTGGCCTGGGCTCACCTGAGCCTGTTTTATTCTCTTTATGAACTTGATGCACGTTGCTCTTCCCTTCCTGAGTGCCCAAAAGCTGGACATGGACTGCAGGGTGCTCTGCCCTAGGGATTTCTGGCTGCGGGTGGTGGGCTTGTCTCACAGGGCGCATATACAGCATGTATTAAACTGGTTTCTGCTACAGGGAGAATCACAATAAAATAGATGCATTATAGGTAAGTGCAATAACATGGATGAATCACAAAATAATTTATGTGCTATTAAAAAAATCAGGCAAAAAATAATGTTTACTTTAATGGTTCTATTTATATACAATTATATATGCAATTCAAACTCATCTATAGTGACAAAAAACTGAACAGTGGTGGTTAGTTGATTTGGAATGAAAAGAGGAGTGGGAGGGAAAGACTACCAAAGGATTAAAGAAAAATGGAGGAGATGGATATATTCAGTATCTCAGCCTCCTGAGTCGCTGGGACTCTAGGCATGTGGCAGCTTGCTTAATTTTTTTGTTAGTATTAATTTTTAAGACAAGGTCATGCTATGTTGCCTAGGTTCGTCTCCAACTCCTGACCTCAAGGGATCCTTCTGCCTCAGCCTTTCAAAGCACTGGGATGTCAGGTGTGAGCCACCACTCCTGGCCACATATGCTTCTCTCCAGGTATTTTAATGTAATTTTTCATCTTGTATGTACACTTTTGAATGCCGCCCTTCTACTTTACATTTTTGAATGCTGCTTTTTTACTTTGAGATATTAATATCCAGTAACATCAAATTTATATCTACACTATGGTTATTCATTCTCTCACTAGTGAGTTTCAAAATTTTCTTGGATATCTTTTTTCCTGCTTGCTGGATGTGTCTTTCCAGGCTCTACCATCAATTTCATACACTTATCCCCCTCTGTTTCCTCAACTTGCAACTATCATTACCCTCTGAAATTGTGATAAATCTTGTGTCCTCAGTTCTACCTTCTTAGTTTGGTTGAAGTTTTATCTATTTATTGTCACTGTTCCTAAATAATGGGACATTCGGAGTGCTGTGGGGGAGACAGACGTGGAAAGCAATGGCTGCAGGGCGAGAACTCGGAGTGCCCCGGGATAGACAGATGTGGAAAGAAATGGCTGCAGGGCGAGAACTCGGAGTGCCGCTGGGGAGACAGACGTGGAAACAAATGGCTGCAGGGGGGAACTCGGAGTGCCGCGGGGGAGACAGACGTGTAGACAAACGGCTGCAGGGGGGGAACTCGGAGTCTCCGGGATAGACAGACGTGGAAACAAACGGCTGCAGGGGGGGAACTCGGAGTCTCCGGGGGAGACAGACTTGGAAACAAATGGCTGCAGGGCGGGAACTCGGAGTCTCCGGGGGAGACTTGGAAACAAATGGCTGCAGGGGGGGAACTCGGAGTCTCCGGGGGAGACAGAGGTGGAAACAAACGGCTGCAGGGTGGGAACTTGGAGTGCCCCGGGGGAGACAGACTTGGAAACAAATGGCTGCAGGGCGGGAACTCGGAGTCTCCGGGGGAGACAGACTTGGAAACAAACGGCTGGGAACTCGGAGTCTCCGGGGGAGACAGAGGTGGAAACAAACGGCTGCAGGGCGGGAACTCGGAGTCTCCGGGGGAGACAGACTTGGAAACAAACGGCTGCAGGGCGGGAACTCGGAGTCTCCGGGGGAGACAGAGGTGGAAACAAACGGCTGCAGGGCGGGAACTCGGAGTCTCCGGGGGAGACAGACTTGGAATCAAACGGCTGCAGGGGGGGAACTCGGAGTCTCCGGGGGAGACAGACTTGGAAACAAACGGCTGCAGGGGGGGAACTCGGAGTCTCCGGGGGAGACAGACTTGGAAACAAACGGCTGCAGGGGGGGGGAACTCGGAGTCTCCGGGGGAGACAGACGTGGAAACAAACGGCTGCAGGGCGGGAACTCGGAGTCTCCGGGGGAGACAGACTTGGAAACAAACGGCTGCAGGGCGGGAACTCGGAGTCTCCGGGGGGAGACAGAGGTGGAAACAAACGGCTGCAGGGCGGGAACTCGGAGTCTCCGGGGGAGACAGACTTGGAAACAAACGGCTGCAGGGGGGGAACTCGGAGTCTCCCGGGGAGACAGACTTGGAAACAAACGGCTGCAGGGGGGGAACTCGGAGTGCCCCGGGGGAGACAGAGGTGGAAACAAACGGCTGCAGGGGGGGAACTCGGAGTCTCCGGGGGAGACAGAGGTGGAAACAAACGGCTGCAGGGCGGGAACTCGGAGTCTCCGGGGGAGACAGACTTGGAAACAAACGGCTGCAGGGGGGGAACTCGGAGTCTCCCGGGGAGACAGACTTGGAAACAAACGGCTGCAGGGGGGGAACTCGGAGTGCCCCGGGGACAGAGGTGGAAACAAACGGCTGCAGGGCGGGAACTCGGAGTCTCCGGGGGAGACAGAGGTGGAAACAAACGGCTGCAGGGCGGGAACTCGGAGTCTCCGGGGGAGACAGACGTGGAAACAAATGGCTGCAGGGCGGGAACTCGGAGTCTCGGGGGAGACAGACGTGGAAACAAATGGCTGCAGGGCGGGACCACAGGATGACTCAGAAATACCTGCGTCTGACTTACAGACAAAGTGCACAAGAGGGAGGGCCACTCCTTTTGGGTGGGGACAGGGGATGTATGGGGACTAGAGGTGCCTACTGGCTCTGAAATAAGCCTGCTTTAACGGGACTCTCCCTCGCTTACGTTCACACAGCGTGACAACGAGCAAGTCTCTTAATGTCTCCTGATCTCAGTTTCCTCAGTTATTAAAAAGAAAATGTTTGGAGCTTACCACAGAACGAAAAGATGTGAAAAGTCATGGGTTGTGCCGAGTATGAGGAGATAGTTAGCCAAGCCAGCTCTCATTTGTAAAAACAGCGAATAGGACACTGGAAATTTTGGAGGCTGACAGGCTGCTCCTTCTCCTGCATCCTGTGTTATGAAATGTTCCTTAGCCCAGGAAAGGACTGTGGGCGCCTCGCAGGGAAAGGAGAGTGAATTCACAGTTACAGCCCACTCCTGTCTTCTGTCTCCTCTTTCCTTCCCACCAGAAGTATCCACTGGGTTGATGTGGCACGGCGTCAGTTCTAGAGATGAACCAAGTACCTTGTTTTTGGGGGACTTTGCATGGTTGTCAAGGTGGGAAGGAAGCAAGGGCAGCCTGGGAGAGCTAGGGACCACAGGAGCCTGGAGACAGATCACCTGACTTTCTGTTCTCCCATTGACCAGACCAGAAACCTTCCCTGTCTCCACTGCGGGCTCACTCATAGAGTGGCCTCTGGTGAGCCACGGGTCTCTCAGGGCTGTAAAACCAGACTCTTCCCCTCCTGACATGTCTGGGCCATGGAGTGAAACAAGACATGCTCAGAAAGAACCCAAGTCTTCTAGAATAAAGGGTGTGGGAGAGATGTAATATCATCTAGTCAGGTTTATACTATTCAAAGTAATCAAGTACTTAATGCATTATATGGTTATGAGTCCTGTTAACCAAGTTTATTATCGCCAGCTATTGTAGTAGAAAGCTCTGGACTTTATCGTGGGAAACTGCAGGTATTGTTTCCTGAATTAGAGCCACTTGAAAATTAAATCGCTTGGATTCATAGCGAGTGCCTAGGAGGCCACCCCTATGAAGCCACCCCTCTCATTGACAAGGCCAGCTTCTCAGTGGCCAAAACTTCATAGGGCCAGCCTTCCCCTCCTAGGCGAGAAGTTGGCTGCAAGGTGAAACAGTCGCTATAGTCCAGTGGTTCCAAGCCCAGACTTGGGAGCAGCATTCAAATCCCAGCCCTGCTACTTTTTTTTTTTTTTTTTTTTTTGAGATGGTGTCTTTCTCTGTCACCCAGGCTGGAGCAGTGGTGCCATCTCAGCTCACTGCACCCTCTGCCTCCCAGGTTCAAGCACTTCCCCTGCCTCAGGCTCCCAAGTAGCTGGGACTACAGGTGCGCACCACCACACCCAGCCAATTTTTGTATTTTCAGTAGAGATGGGGTTTCACCATGTTGGCCAGGCTAGTCTCAAACTCCTGACCTCGTGATCTGCCCATCTCAGCCTCCCACAGTGCTGGGATTACAAGCGTGAGCCACCGCACCCGGTGCTGCTACTTTTTAGCTGTGTGGGAACTTAACCTCTCTGTGGTTCTGCTTCCTCATTGCACAGCAGGGGTGACAATGGTACCGACCCTGCTGAATTGTAACTGAGTCCATTTGAAGCACTTGACCCTGTGCTCAGAGATCCTCTACCTGCTCTGTCCAGCCACTGCTCCTCCAGTCACCTCTGTCCCCTTCTCTAAAGCCAGGACAGACACCTGTGAAATCTCCTAAGCACTGGGAATTGGACTCTAAGGACATATTGTCTTTGGAGAAACACTTCTTAGCTTCTCCCACATAGCGACTTTCAGCTTCCCCCAGGCTGCAGAAGGATATTTATCTTGTCAGCAAAGATACCCATGCACGCAGCTGTACCCCACATGCACCCCTGTGTGTATAAGTGTATGAAAGAACACTTTTATGTAGCGCCTGTGTCAAGTACTTTTCCAAATGCTCCATGAATATTAACAAATGCAGTCCTCACAACAGCGATGTGAAGTGGATGCTGTTAATCATCCTCATTTTAAATTTAAGAGATGGAAGCAGGGAAGGACTAAATGGCTGAGTCAGGATTCTGATACTGTGTGTGTGTGTGTATTTTAACAAAAGGATCCCGAAATAATACTTATCCTTAGCAAGTGCAGTGTACACTATGTTCTATTCTGTTCCATCCAATTTTTAAAAATGCATTTCTCCTATGTGCCAATTTGGATTTTGTTTTACTAATCTGGGCTCCCGACCCACTGATGACTCCAAAGCCACAGTTTGAAAGGCAGGGTAGTGAGAGGAAAACTTCCGAGGAAAAGAAATGGCAGATTTCCTCCGTGTGGCCTGTGTTCAAAGGTGGGTGGAGCTCTAGCCGGGAGTGTTGGTGGGGCTCTGAGATGGATCAGAAGGTGCTTCCTGTTTTCAGATGTGAGATTCTAAAGAAAATAGGCCCAGACCCTCAGAGCTGGTTGAGGGGGCAAAGGCTACAGATGGGGCCAGGCTTGCATTCCTGGTTGGGCAGATGCTGCTGATAAACCTTCGGAAGAGGCCTGGCTGCCGGCACGTGCTGGTTGTTATCTTATCCTTTTCCAGAGTGAAATCAGGAAAGGCCTTGTAAGCTGGAGCCCCTGACTGGAGCTAGGACTCAGGGCTCAGGGCTGCTTGCTGTGCCTGGGGGCCTCTTTCGGCCTGGACTGGTATTCTATCAGTAGTATTCTATGCTTAACTTTTTAAGACATTTTTCTATTTACCAAGTTATTTTATGCTCAGAAGAGCTGAATTTGGCAAGCGTAGGTTCCATTCCATTCTACAGGTGGGGAGAAGAGGCCGAGAGATGCTTGGTGACTTGGTCCAGGCTGTAGGAGACTGGAAGGCACCTCCAGACATCCAGTTCTAGTTATCTCTGCTGCAGATGGTGCGGTAGATTATGTGATTAGCCTTGGAGACGTTTAAGGAGGAGACACGAACAGGAGGCCACTTTACCTGTCTGGGGTTTGTCATCTGGCTCCTCTGTTCTTCAGCTTCAGTTGCCCCTGGCAAAATACAGTAGGGTTGATTGAGGCCCACCCTGGGAT